GCAGGACAGCAGCTGTTGGATTCATTTTTAAACCCAGAATGTAAGTCACAATGCACCATGAACTAAAAACAAAACACCAATATTCACACAATCTGAAACAAAACCAAAAGGCCAAGAGAAAAAACAACTAAACCTGTCAGTCACCGTGGATCAGCGTTACATGCTGATGAAACTAACTTGGCCTTGCACATTCTAGATACTAATAAAACCACATGCAAACAGGGGGGGAAACGACGCCTGTGGCTTCGTCGTCATGGGGCTACATGTACACATACAGAAAATGTAACTTTTTTTTGTAACATCCTAACTATAAATATGATTAAGCCAACGACTCCTTCATCCATGTCTTGCGATGGCGAGTGTTAGCAGCAGTGTAGAAGCAGAGTGAGGAGGAGCGCCTCAAAGACCACAGGATCTGAACCAAAGGCCACTTGATCAGTCACTTTAGGACATGGGTAAACATTGCCATGCACCATTCACTGCAGCTGTATCACTGCTGTATATCTGTTAGTTTGATGCCGGTTTTAAAAAAAGGCAAGCTGAGGGACACGCGGCGCCTCGAGGAGACGCAGGCGAGCTGGCAGACCAGAAGAAGAAAATAACGTGGCAAATAGGAAACGACTAGATGCACATTGCAGCTAATAGCGGCAACATAGGAACCTTATCTGATGTCCATAATCTATACATAGGCTACTAAAAATAAACATTGGGAGTCACACACCCCCCCCCCCCTCCCCTCCCCTCACTAGTTTCTTGTTACTGCGCAGAGGCAGCGATAGCAGCAAATGTAACAGAAAGGCAAACCTTACAAAATGTAAACACGGCTAATCTAATTACGTCTTATTTCCATTTGTGTGTTTGTTAGTATATCGTGTTTTATGTATATAGGCAAATCTATATTGTGATTTTTAAAAATGTTTTGATGCTAGTAAAGCTATACCACCACCAACAAATAAAAGCTTGAGATAAGATGTGTTAAAAGTCCTGAACCAGTGCGAGCATCAGGTTAATGTAGTGTTGGAGTTCACCTCTAAAGAAACAGTGCTGTGATGCTGAAGCCATCATTCAGCGTGAGATCAGAATGACAAGGCACATGCTATTAGCAGCAGCACCCCACCTAGCACTAATGTCTGCACAGGTGCTGTATGAATGACATAACCAGACCTCTGTGTGTGTGTGTGTGTGTGTGTGTGTGTGTGTGTACAGCTGGTACACAACAAAAAAAATACAATAAGCAGTAGAATAAGAGCCCTGACTAAACAGTCTATTGAGATATGTCACGGACGCTGCAGATATCAAACAGGTGAGTTGAATTCTTTTTCATAAATGTCAGATCTCACAGTGATTCAGTGCCAGCGAGTCTTCAGGACGGCACACAGTTCAAATGACCGGCTGGGGGGGGTCTGGCTGGGGGGTCCGGCTGCTGACGATGGTGTCTCCGTGTCGCATCATTGACCTATTAATACCCATTGCCCATGCTTTCTGCATTAACTAGCTCTAATATCAAAGTGTGAAACAGCGAGGAGTAGTGGTGTAGAAATCTTAGACATTCAAGATCCCGGGGTCTGGAACAGCTAGGTTTCCGTTCTGAGTGACCGCTTCAGGTAGGATGTTGTTGTTGTTGTTTATGGGGGTGGTGGAGGTGAGGCTGTTGTTCTCTCGCGCCAACATGTAGGCGGCCATAGTCTCTGAAGACTCTGACGATGGCAAAAAGGAGCTGGGGGGGGAGGGGCGCCGCTGCTGCTGGCCCTCCACGGCGTCGCTGGAGCGTTTGGACGAGTCGTTGTCCGAGTCGAGGTGCGAGAGCTTTTCCATCCACACTCTGAAGCGCTCCTCGGTCTGCCGCTGCATCACGGCAAAGCGCGTCATGGCTTCCTCCAGAACGCTGCCGATGCCGTTCCTGTCCCACGAACTGGTGTCCAGCAGCCCATGAATCTGGGCGCCCACTCTGGATCTCTCCGACGCACGTCTGAAGCCAGCTTTAAAAGACATTGAGGCCAAGCCATAAGAAAATACAGTGGCACTTTCATGCTTCGGATGTGGACTTTTGTATTTAAAAAAAAAAAAAAAAAAAGAGAAAATGACAGTTGTTTTTTGTGGTTACGTGCAGATCGACTCGACATGCTGATGGACTACATCATGCAGTTGAAGCACTCACATTTGTGTGCGAGATGTAAAAAAAATGGTTGAAAACATTTCATGTAGAAACGGACCCCTGAGGGGGAGATAACTGATGTTTCGGCGACTGTGGTTTGGACTAGGGCTGCTCGATTATGGCAAAAATCATAATCTCGATTATTTTGGTCAATAATTGATATCACAATTATTAAAAAACGATTATCCATTTACTTTGAAAACATCCATTTATTGAAAAAAAAATGTGAACAGTATGTTTTTAACAGTTGATTACCCTGAACTTTAAGTATAATTCAACTGAAAAACCAATACAAAAATAAAAATAATATTATTTTTAATAAAAATAATAATCGTTTTATTTCGATTACGTTGTTTTCGTAATCGTTGCAAGCCAAAATCGAGATTAAAATACGATTAATTGCACAGCTCTAGTTTGGACTTTGAGGTAAAAACACTCACTTCAATTCATTATAAACCAAGGAAACCATATATAGTCTTCTAAAACCTCTTACTAAAATATGCGTTGGGGTTAATATCATCGATAGGCACCATGTATAATACCTCTGTAGTTCTCCTGGACAAAAACATTAGACTATAACCTCTTAACCTATCAAACAAAAGCTTTGAAAAACTGTCTACAAGAAGAACCAACCCAACCGCTTTTATTCTAGGAAATGCAACCACAGTGAAAGGATTAGCATAAAGTACCAGAAGTCAGCAGCCGGTCTGTAAATACCCCCAGGCTAAAAGCTACTTATTACAAACTCAACTCACCCAAGAGATTTCTACAATCATTAGGAAAATCAAGATTAACTACGGGAACAAACACGGGGCCGGTGTGCAGACAAGCACTGTCGGTGTGTGTTCGTACTAAAAAAGGTGCTGCAGACAGAGCCCATTAAAGTGAGGAGAACCACCTGTTAGCAAGTCTAAAAAGCTTCCTGTGCAGACATGCATGAGAGACATAGGGGATGTTCAGCTGCTGGAAAACACTACATTAAATGGACTTTTAAGCATCATTATAAAACGGCACATTAAATATAATTTAATCTCTAAACTGGCAGATATGAGACAGTATTTCTACCCATGCCCAACAGTAACTGCAGAAACTCAGACTGACACAGTGTGATCATACCACATTCATTGTCTATTTACAGCAAAGGCTGAGGAGGATATAAATGGCTCACTTGTTGAATTGCGAAGCTCGCAATATAGGTTAGATTAACCCAACTCCGTTTATGAGTGGAAGAATGTCCTCTAGACTTCACAGCATGCAAACGATGACACACAGTTCTTCTGACACAACATATATTATATAACGACAAGTGACTCGGTCTTAGTATTTTAAAGACACGGTGAGTGAGGCGTGATGATGATTGAGAAAATAACAAAAAAGAAAAGAAAGTGATTGATAAAACAACACAAACAAAAGCAGTTCCTGTACTGGTCTGATTTTACAAAGGCTTTAAACGGCCTCATCACATGTTCTTACTATATGTGGAAAATGGTTCAGGTGAAATAATGCAGTCAGCTGTGTTTGACTCTGATGTGTCGTTGTACAATGTGTGGCTATATGTTTTACTGTTACGATATGAAACAGTGTGTATATCTGAGTGGCTGCTTCAGCTACCCTGTACTTCCTCACAGTGGTACTGTGCTATAAGCATGTGTTGTGTACAGTGGATGTTACCTGTAAGGTCTGTCTTGATTGTCTTGCTGCCTCCTGAAGTGTCGTCGTCGTCGTCCTCAGAGGAGCTGGTGCTGGAGTCGCACGTGAGCTCGCTGTCACTCGTACTGCTGTCCTGCAGCAGGTTGTACTTCTTCCGTGCCGCCGCCTCACGTTTCTGCCTCAGCAGACGCATCCTCTCCTTGTGTTTCTGGCTCCGGTGACCTTTCACTTTGGCCAGCTTGCCATTGGTTTGTTTTTCCGGCCCTCCCGCAGCTACTACGGTGGGCTGGCAGCGGTTTTTCTTTGCAGCCAGTGCATTGTGCGGCATCTCGCTCTCTGAACGTAACCGCCGGGCCTTCCTCCCTCCCGTCGCTGAGGAAGATGATTGCTTTCCTGTCGCCTGCCCATCGTTTGTCGTATCCATGTTTCCTTCTTCGTCTTTTCCTGTGGAAGGAGTGGCCCCTTCTTCCCCTGAGGAGAGTGTGTCTGAGTCAGCAAGGTGTCCGCTGGAGGAGGGGGACATCATGCAGGGGTTTGAGGAGTCGCTCTCATCGATATGAAGAGATGCGGGCTTGTCGCTCCCTGTGGAGGCGTGCTGGGACTCTGGGGAGTCTCTGCGGAGCTCCTTCATCAGGCACGGCATGGAGAGGAGACTCAGCTCACCCTCTGTATTCAAGGGGCTGTCTGCCTCCTTTTCCCTGGGGGGTGAGCTGGTACTGGTGGTGGTCTCTGTCTTCAGATGCTCATCCTGGGCAGAGCCTGTGGTTGATTGTGCTTCATCAAGGCACTCTGTGGGGGACTCAGCATCCACAAAATCCTCTGCCTTGTCCGAGTCAGCCATCTTCATGCTAGTTGAGCCCAAAGCCCAGAGGTCCAGCGAGCATGGACCAATGTGCCTGGACAGGAGCTCACCTGCTGTAAGAGAAACAAATCATTCATTCAAATTCACTGTGAAGGAGTCTGGATGTCTGACTGCTCAGGAAACATGTAAAGGCATTATTCAATTTAGTAGAAACTCAAAAACATTATTACAATATGAAATGTTCCTTTGAAACATGATGATCTCCCCCTAAATGCGGTATACAACGATAGCACATTCAAGCAATTTTTCAGCGAGTACAAACTTGCATATCAAGTTGTTTTTGGCTTATTCTACTTCTACTTGTCAAACAGCCATAGTGTGCTTTCATGTATGAGGAGAAATGTATTATCGATTGAATTAAACACTTTATTAAGATGTATCCAGAGGTGGGAGAAGTACTCAGATCTTGTACTTGAGTAAAAGTAGAAGTACTCAGATCTTGTACTTGAGTAAAAGTACCAGAGTGTAGGAATACTCTGTTACAGTAAAAGTCCTGCATTCAAAATGTTCCTCAAGTGAAAGTAGAAAAGTATTCTCATCAAAATATAGTGAAAGTAGCGACAGTAAAAGTAGTCATTGTGCAGATTGGTCCATTTCAGAATAATATATATGATATGTTTTATAATGATTGATCATGAAAGTGTTCTCAAAGCTGGTAAAGGTGCAGCTAGTTTGAATGACTTTGTATACTGCAGGGTAGCTTGTGGATTTACTCCAGGTGGAACTAAAGTCTGATTTAACACTTGATTATATTTCACATCATTCATCCACATCTGTAAAGTAACTAAAAGGTATAAATACATGTAGTGGAGTAAAAGTACACCATTTACCTCTGAACTGTAGAGGAGTAGAAGTACAAAGTAGCATAAAATGGAAAGTACCTCAATATGTGCAGTGCAGTATGTGAGTAAATCTACTTAGTTACTTTACACCACTATATAGAAATGAACCTCTGTGCAGTAGCAGGATGAGGATGCTTTTCAGATCAAACATATTTTTATGAAGTTTTCACAATGCATCACTAAGGTTTTATGCTACAACTTAAGGAACAGCACACACAATGAAAATAAGCTATCATTTAGCGTGTGAGCATATACAAATAAGACAATAGTATGCACTGATTATAGTACAAGTCCTTCAGTATTGTACCTTAAGTACAGTGCTTGAGAAAATCCCCACTTTACACCACTGGTTGTATCTGGAGCTAGCTGAAGCTAACACTACTTTTAGCTGCGTAGGGATCAGCTAACCTCGATCATAACCTTAAACTCTATGAACTTGGCCAGAAGGAGAGTCATGTGGAAAGGTGCAGGGTGCAGTGCAGCAGCTGGAGATCCTATAAATGGAAGCTGTATCTCAGCCACCAAGGGGCGAGGAAAGCAGGATAAAACGGCTAACGTTATCTCAGTCAAACCGTTAGCATTTAGCTTACAACTCACCGCGGTTTAGTTATAATCTTCTGTTCCCAGTGTCAGACTTTTCAACATCTTCGGTGTTTTGTAGTCTCGTTGATTTACGATTTATTAAACAATGCACTGCTGAATATAATATAACTGGTAAGAACTTGGGACGATTATAATGTGTTTTGGCGCAGTGCGCTCGCCCCTTCGCGAGCCCTGTTAGCAGTTAGCCGTTAGCTGTGTGTTTATTTTAAAATGTCTCCATCAGCCGTTCGTCTTCACAAAGATACATGCGCCACTTCCGGGCCTGACTCAGAGTACAGCGCCCCTATGGGTCGAGTGTTGGTACTGCATACATTCATTTTCTCAAGAGTCAATATGCTTTTCTGTCATATTGTGTACACTGTGACTGCATGGATGTATAATAAGAACACTGTACACTAGCTACAGTGTAATTATGGCAATGTAGATCTTCCAAAGCTCCTCCACCATTGCAACATACTTTACTTGAGTATTTCCATTCGATGCTTTGCTACTGTGTACTTCTACTCCACTACAGTTCAGAGGTAAATGGTGTACTGTCTACATGTATTTATACCTTTAGTTACTTTACAGATTTGGATGAATGATGTGAAATATAATCAAGTGTTAAATCAGACTTTAGTTCCACCTGGAGTAAATCCACAAGCTACCCTGCAGTATACCAAGTCATTCAAACTAGCTGCACCTTTACCAGCTTTGAGAACACTTTCATGATCAATCATTATAAAACATATCATATATATTATTCTGAAATGGACCAATCTGCACAATCACTACTTTTACTGTCGCTACTTTCACTATATTTTGATGAGAATACTTTTCTACTTTTACTTGAGGAACATTTTGAATGCAGGACTTTTACTGTAACAGTGTATTCCTACACTCTGGTACTTGTACTTTTACTCAAGTACAAGATCTGAGTACTTGTACTTTTACTCAAGTACAAGATCTGAGTACTTCTCCTTTTACTCAAGTACAAGATCTGAGTACTTCTACTTTTACTCAAGTACAAGATCTGAGTACTTCTACTTTTACTCAAATACAAGATCTGAGTACTTCTACTTTTACTCAAGTACAAGGTCTGGGTACTTCTACTTTTACTCAAGTACAAGATCTGAGTACTTCTCCTTTTACTCAAGTACAAGATCTGAGTACTTCTACTTTTACTCAAGTACAAGATCTGAGTACTTCTACTTTTACTCAAATACAAGATCTGAGTACTTCTACTTTTACTCAAGTACAATATCTCATGGATAAATAGATAGATAGAAAAAAATAAAACCGTTATGTCTGAATGTTTACAAAAAGGTGTATACAAAAAAAAGAAAAAGACGAGGACCTTTATTTGAAGTACTTCCGGTTCACTGTGACCTTTCTCCAGTCTGCAGCTCCTCTCCCACATCCTTCTCTCTTCAGGGGCTCAGACTTCAGGACAACATGCTTACTGTTCGCGTCGCAGCGGCTCTGGCCCGTAGCCTGCCAAGAAGGGCTGGCTTTGTAAGCATCTCTTACTTCTTATTATATCAAAATCTGTGTCGAATTCATTACGAAAATACCGAATTTATCAGATAAAAGTAAAAAAATCATGGCGGTCTGGAGGACACCGGGCCCTTCACTGAGCACCGCTAACTGTCAGTCAGAAACATAATACCGTGTATTAGTAACAGTATTTAGACAATAGCAATCTTTACAACAACGTTTTAATGCATTTTGAATAGATATGATGAAGTTAAATTGCAGGAATGACGCATGTAGTTTGGAGGTCAGGTTTGCCACTTTAGCTTGTTTAGCTTTCATGCTAACTTTCATTGACAGGCTACATTTTGCACAGTTGTGTATTTATTGAGGCTGACATTAAGCCTTATATTGTACTTTTCTGCTAATTTACTCTCATTGGTGAAACGTAACAAAGTAGCAGCTGTCAGGAAGATAATGCATTATATTAATAAGAGTAATTAGACCATGCAATTAACCTTTAAACTAGGTGTTAATGCATTTTAAATGGATATAACTAGGCTAAAGTGCAGGAATGACGCATATAGTTTGGAGGTCAGGTTTGTCTCACTTAAGGTTTTTTTTTTAGCTTTCATGCCAACTTATTGAAAATGCACTTGCCAGGCTCCATTTTGCACAGTTGTGTGATTTATTAGGGTGGGTTTAAGATGTTATTATACTGTTATAGTTAATATATATACACCTAGTGTGGAGGACTTTCTTGTGACCCTGAAAACTGTTTGACCTGTAGCCCTTCCTAAAATGTATTTATAAGTTGGAAGAAGTTGTAGAAAGAGACATTTGCTCATAGGTTTAAGCTGCTAATGGCATTTTACAATGAAATATCAACAATAAAATAAAAACATAGGAGTTAAAATGACTTGTATCAACTCTCTCTGTTGTTTTTAAGCAAGAGCCAAGCATCTGTTTTTATTCTAGAACAAAGAAATACCTGGTGATCACATTTAATGATGTTCTGAAATTCAAAATCGTTAAAAATCCTTGTAAAATTCCGTATTAGCACTAGGAGAATTATGGTTATTATATCAATATCGTGATATGAAACTAGATGGTGTCTCATATTTTGGATATTGTTTATTTCCTGGTTTGAAATTCTGCATTACAGAATATTTGTTTGAAGGTTCTTTATTTAGTCATACGAACATAGCTACAATGCCGATGAAATTCTTAGGTCACAGGCTTCTCCAAATGTGACACTTGTATAAAATGTATTTCTGTCCTTGTCTCCATTGTCTTAAAGGTATCCAAGAATGTTGCTGCAGCGTGTGTTGGAGTCAACCATCTGCACACCACCCGCCCATGGATGGTGAAAACCGGTCAGTGTTTCATAAACCTGCATTAGCTACTGCTTAAAGTGAGAGATCCCCCCCAAAATTAAGATATACACACTGTTCCTCTTACCTGTAGTGCAAATCCTCTCCATTATTCTGGTGTGAGTTGCCATGTGTTAATCATAAATTGTCCCTTTTTTAATTGAATAGCTAATTAGCAGAGATGGCAAAAGTACACGCACCCTTTACTCAAGTAGAAGTACAGATACTCGTGTTTAAAAATACTCTGGTGAAAGTAGAAGTACTGACTAAACTTCTTTACTCAAGTCAAAGTAAAGAGGGCTTTGAAATGTACTTCAGTAAAAAGTACCCATAGCTAGCAGCTGTTTTAAAGAGTACCTGACCTCCCTTTATATTAATAGAACAATAATGTCATTGTTAGCTAATGAATGTTTCCATGCTGAACAACGGCAACATGACAACGTTTTCATTGGTCCCTCTTCTTTAGAGAAGACCAGGAAATGATGGATACACGGATCGTGTTCAAATCAATAGGCACGCAATGACTCTAAATAATAATGATCACGCCACCAAACACACATTCAAACTAAAGGAACCAGCCTGTTTGGGAAATGTGAGAAGTAGAAAGTACAGGTATTTGAGTTCAACATGTAAGAAGTAGAAAGTACAGGTATTTGTGTTCAACATGTAAGAAGTAGAAAGTACAGGTATTTGTGTTCAAAATGTAAGAAGTAGAAAGTACAGGTATTTGGGTTCAACATGTGAGAAGTAGAAAGTACAGGTATTTGTGTTCAACATGTAAGAAGTAGAAAGTACAGGTATTTGTGTTCAACATGTAAGAAGTAGAAAGTACAGGTATTTGAGTTCAACATGTAAGAAGTAGAAAGTACAGGTATTTGGGTTCAACATGTAAGAAGTAGAAAGTACAGGTATTTGGGTTCAACATGTAAGAAGTAGAAAGTAAAAAGTCGTCAGAAAAATAAGTAGTGGAGTAAAGTACTGATACCAGAACAATGTACTTAAGTACAGTAACGAAGTATTTGTACTCCACTACTTCCCACCTGTGCCTTATAGTGTTTCCAAAGTTGTTAACGAGTGCACTTTTCCTACAGGCACCGCCGAGGTGTCGTCCATCTTGGAGGAGAAGATCCTGGGAACAGAAAACAGCGTCGACCTGGAAGAGACCGGCCGAGTTCTGTCCATCGGAGACGGTATCGCCCGAGTCTACGGTCTGAGGAACGTGCAGGCGGAGGAGATGGTGGAGTTCTCTTCTGGTCTGAAGGTACGATACGATACGATAATACTTTAATGGTCAGATCAAGTCTGAAATGCTCCTTGCATCCCAGCAGCTCCATGTGTGACATCAACAGACAAATATCATCAAGAGACAATACATGAACAACAAACATTGAACATAACAGCACAATCAGTGAGAGAAGACATGGTCAAAGAGCCTTCAGCGTGCATCTGATCTGGAGTCAGCTCTGTGTTTACTGAGAGGATCGACTGGAGCACAAAGGATGCTTCACTTTGTTATAATTATTATTATTGTTTGTTTTGTTCAATACATTTCTTTTGACTAATTTCTTCTTGTTTCTTCTCCTCCAGGGCATGTCTCTGAATTTGGAGGCTGACAACGTTGGAGTTGTGGTGTTCGGTAACGACAAGCTGATCAAAGAGGGCGACATCGTGAAGAGAACCGGAGCGATCGTAGACGTTCCCGTGGGCGCGGAGCTGCTGGGGCGCGTTGTCGATGCTCTGGGAAACGCTATTGATGGAAAGGTAAATAATAATGATAGATAGATGGATAGATGGATGGATAGATAGATAGATAGATATATGGATGGATGGACGGACAGATGGATGGATAGATAGATAGATAGATAGATAGATATATTTGAACATTGTAATCCTTTGTTATTAGTATTATTATATCATTTATTTAAACCAGCCGTTGTAAAATCGACGTCATAGCCGACTGAAGGAGAAAAGAATCACGGAGCAATATCGTTTTTTGACCTTTGAAAATATGTGTTTGTACTGATACCTTTAGCTTAAGTAAACTTTCAATCAAACTTTCCCGAGACGTATTTTAGTTGGAGTCAAGCTCATTGCTACTTGTGGATATATTAATGTTTGGATTAGACGGAACTACAGTCACATTGCACCTGTATTTTACAATATATACAGTATTAATAAGCCATTATGCCTCGTTCTGATGTGTTTGTTCCTCTCTCTCGCCCTCAGGGTCCCCTCGGCTCCACTATCCGCAGGCGTGTTGGTCTGAAGGCCCCAGGCATCATCCCTCGTATCTCTGTGAGGGAACCCATGCAGACGGGCATCAAAGCCGTGGACAGTCTGGTCCCCATCGGCCGAGGACAGAGAGAGCTGATCATCGGAGACAGGCAGACCGGGTAAGAGGACTCTTTTTTTTAAATGAAAATGTTTGCGTTGCAGCAGCATAAAATAATTATTAAAAGAACTATTAAAAAGAATTAAACAGCATTTTCCAAGGTATTACATTTTGTAGCTTGTTTTCAATAAGGGGATAGTGGTGGTCTAATGGATAGTGAGGTGGGCTGAAGACCGCCAGGAACACCACCACTAGTGTGCCCTTGAGTAAGGCACTTAGCCCTTAGTTACTCCAGGGAGAATGTCCCTGTAATTGGTCATTGTAAGTCGCTTTGGATAAAAGCGTCAGCTAAATGTAATGTAATGTAATAAGTATATAAATGGTCCAAAGAGGTTGTATTCTCCAGTCTGCCTGAATGTAATAATTGCGTAGGTGTGTAGTGTGATTCTGTGTAGTTTATTTATGGCATCCCGTTGGATTAGACGTCCTCTGAACAGGACATCGCACGCTCACTGCTTGATAGCGCGCGAAGGTCCGTTTACGCCGGTTGCTAAGCAACATCGTTATGGGGAAATGCAAGTCTGCGTCCAAATGGTTGGAAGATAAGGAGGAAGGACAATCAATACTGTATATAGTCAATGTGAGGGAAAGTGTGTCGCCAAGGTAACCGGTTAGAACTCCAAGTAGAAAGGGTCCAAAGATCCAAAAATACTTAAAGATCCAAATGTACTTAAAGTTCCAAAAATACCGTAAATTCCAAAAATACTTAAAGTTCCAAAAATACTTAAAGTTCCAAATATACTTAAAGTTCCAAAAATACCGTAAATTCCAAAAATACTTAAAGTTCCAAATATACTTAAAGATCCAAAAATACTTAAAGTTCCAAATATACTTAAAGTTCCAAAAATACTTAAAGATCCAAAAATACTTAAAGTTCCAAAAATATCGCAAATGGTTGGAAGATAAGGAGGAAGGACAATCAATACTGTATATAGTCAATGTGAGGTAAAGTGTGTCGCCAATGTAACCGGTTAAAACTCAAAGTGGCGATGAGGTCTTAAAATGTATGGAAAGGGTCTTAAAAAAGGTCTTATAAGATATTACATTTGACTTCAGGATTCCTGCATATACCCTGGAAAGAGAACGATGAAAGGAATATAAAAACATGATAAAAACACATACAAATGTAAAAATGTTATGTTCAACTATTATTAAAAGCCCATGCAAAGAGGTGAGTTTTTCTATATAAATAAACTTGCCTTGCCTTGTGTCGCAGTAAAACCGCCATCGCCGTGGACACGATCATCAACCAGAAGCGTTTCAACGACGGCACGGACGAGAAGAAGAAGCTTTACTGCATCTACGTGGCCATCGGGCAGAAGAGGTCCACCGTGGCTCAGCTGGTGAAGAGGCTGACGGACGCCGACGCCATGAAGTACACCATCGTGGTGTCTGCCACCGCCTCTGACGCCGCGCCGCTGCAGTACCTCGCCCCGTACTCCGGGTGCTCCATGGGAGAATTCTTCAGAGACAGCGGGAAACACGCCCTCATCATCTACGACGATCTGTCCAAGCAGGTACAGTGCCAGGGGGGGGGTTTAAAACGGGAGCAATCGCTGTGAACATACATGCAACTAAATGTATTTCATATAATAATAATCTTTATCTGTATAGCACCTTTCACTTTAAGTGCAGTTCAAGGTGCTTCACATAGACATTTCACAGAAAATGTATATCACACAGAATACAGTTACCAGTAAAAGACATAAAAACAAACTAAAAAAAGCATAGACAAAAAACACATTTAGATTAAAGGTACAACGATGAAATTGTGCATGTCCAATATGAGAGTCCACGTGATAACAAAGGTATCCCAACTGTAGCTGAGTACATGACAGGATGTATGATTACCTAGAAGAGCATCAGGACTGTTTGAGGCATATGATAGCTATGTGATTAACATGATGATTCAGCCTCTATGGAGATAGACATATGACAAGCATGCTCATTTCTGACGTGGAGCTAATCTGAAGTAAACATTGAATACTGCTTTCTATTCCTCCATCTTGTGACTGTGTAACTCCCTCTCTTGGATATCAGCATGTGAAGGACACTGTTCAGGAACTAGTTGATGCTCTGTATGTGATGACTACTTCCATTCTGGAGAGTCAGGATTTTGAGTAAAAAGTCAGAATTTTTAGATTTTGAGAAAAGTCAGAATTTTGAGATTTTGAGAAAAGTCAGAATTTTGAGTAAAAAGTCAGAATTTTTAGATTTTGAGAAAAGTCAGAATTTTTAGATTTTGAGAAAAAATACTGAATTTTGAGATTTTGAGAGAAAGTCCGAATTTTTAGAGAAAGTAAACATTTTGAGAGAAAGTCAGAATTTTGAGATTTTGAGAAAAAAGTCAGAATTTTGAGAAAAAGTCAGAATTTTGTGATTTTGAGAAAAAATACATAATTTTGAGAGAAAGTCAGAATTTTGAGAGAAAGTCCGAATTTTGAGGAAAAGTTAAAAAAAATGATTTTGAGAAAAAGTCAGAATTTTGAGAGAAACTCAGTATTTTGTAGATGACAGGATGTATGATTACCTACAAGAACCGGTATTCCTCCATCTTGTGACTGTGTAACTCCCTCTCTTGGATATCAGCATGTGAAGGACACTGTTCAGGAACTAGTTGATGCTCTGTATGTGATGACTACTTCCATTCTGGAGAGGATCACAAATACATGGATCCTGAGATTGAATCTCAAGCCGGTGACCAGTGATATTTTTCTAACATAAACTAAATCCTCCCCCTTCATTTTCCCTGCAGGCTGTTGCTTACCGTCAGATGTCCCTGCTGCTGCGCCGCCCCCCCGGTCGTGAAGCTTACCCCGGAGACGTCTTCTATCTTCATTCCCGTCTTCTTGAGAGAGCCGCCAAGATGAACGATAACTTCGGCGGCGGCTCGCTCACAGCGCTGCCCGTCATCGAGACCCAGGCCGGAGACGTGTCTGCTTACATTCCCACCAACGTCATCTCCATCACTGACGGACAGGTGAGGGCGGGACTCTATTATTATAATATAATGTAGTGATGGAAAAGTCTGACGCAATGGAGACGAGACTCAAGATAAATGCTGCACTGAGTATTCACAGCTGTTTCTGTCTCTCAGATCTTCTTGGAGACCGAGCTGTTCTACAAAGGAATCCGTCCGGCCATCAACGTCGGTCTGTCTGTGTCCCGAGTCGGATCTGCTGCTCAGACCAAAGCCATGAAGCAGGTGAGATTTACCTGGGATCACCTGTCAGATTGTATCACTAGAGATGTCACGAGAACATTTGGTACACAAATAGATGCCAGTGTGGCGGCTCAATTCTCAGTTAAGTTTGAGTCCCCGAGAGGCTAAGCTTGGCTTTATGCTGCGACGCGTTTTCAATGAGGAAGTCCATACTGAAGAAAGACAGGTTGAAGATATTTAATAAACAAAATCAACACACACAATAACTTGGAGGGACAAAAACGGTGAACAGAAAAAATGTCAGCACAAATACTAAATACACAAACCACCCCCATGTGACGATTGCCGGAAGTGCTCAACAAATACAAATAAAAGTGACGTAAACAAATAATAATAATAATACAAATAATAAACTCAGGCTAAGTAGCATTTTGGCTCAGAATACTCGAAACTTGACCCTTCTTGTTTTTCTAAAGGAGCATAGTTGCTGCGAGGCCTCGAGACACATTTCCTGTCGTCCTAGAGATACAAAAAAAATGTGTTTTGGTTTCAGTAAACTCACATTTAATGCTTCTAAGGACCTATTTTCCTCCTGATGATGCTACATAGGGTGCGTCTCACTTCGGTTATTTTTCATTTCCTCGCTCCTCGGGCTCGGTATCACCGGAATTTGTCTGCGCCATCTTGAGTAGCGTCCCAGTGGCCTTATTTTTGCCGGAGGATCGAGGAGTGATAATCGAGGAACTACCAGACCATCCTCCGGTGAAATCCTCAGACGCTCGCCCCGCCCCCTTACTGTGTATCACTCACTGATTGGACGATGCAGCGCATGCACTGATCTGGCTCCTGTCAGACGATCAGCTGTGCGGCGTCATCACAAACGGACGTCGCTTCACGTGACGCTCCGGAGGAAACGACGTCCCATTGCTCTTAAAACTAATTTCCCTGCTTCTCGTGGTTTCCTTGCGTCTCTCCATGCTTCCTGGAGGGAGGGACTAGTCGCAGGGAAACGACGCAAGTGAGGGACGCAAGGAATCCATTTAACTGAAGTGAAAAGCACCCATATCTGTTCAATTTGGCTGAGAAGCTAGTTAGCATTAGCCGTTAGCAGCTGGTAAACAGAGGATCCATAGAGTTGAATAATGGTGCGTTCAAGCTCTATAAAGTAAAAAAGACATTCGTAAAAAACATTTTATTATAAGGTTATCACGGTGTGTTCAGTTGTTATCTTGTGAAATGTAGTTTTTGCTGAGAAGCTTGAATAAATCCCAATGTCATGTCTTCACATCAATATAAAATGGATATTAGAGAATTGTAACATGAAAGTAAATATGCAAATGTGGGTTGAAGTACATGGGATTTATTGTTTTGTAGTATTGAGAATCCTGCAATTTTAGGGTATGATGACTGCCCTATTCATTTATTTGTTTATTCCACACATGGCAGTTATTTTAAAACAAAACATGTACACTTTACAAAACTTATACTGGTTGTTTTCTTTTATAGCGCGTGGTGGAAAGGAGCAGGGAGAAGAACATCTTATTTGACCTGCCCCTTCTTAACAACAACAAAAAATGAAATAACCATTAAAAAGTAAAATAAAAGCAATATTCTTTCAGTCACAGTTGCTCACAAATAGTGAAACATAAAACCAGAACACAATCAAGTCAACTTCAAACTGTCTAATTACGCTTTCTTTATACATTTTCTTAAACATAAAAATGTTCTTACAGCCCTTTAAATCATTCGCCACTTCTTTACGCCAAGAGACAAACATCTGCTTTAAAGTATACGTGCAAACTGGTTAGGGTTAAATGTAGTCCCACCACATGTCTCTAATCCTTACATTTGGACCCCTCTTCCTCTCCAGGTGGCCGGCACCATGAAGCTGGAGCTGGCTCAGTACCGTGAGGTCGCTGCCTTCGCTCAGTTCGGATCTGACCTGGACGCTACCACCCAGCAGCTGCTGAACAGAGGAGTGCGTCTCACTGAGCTGCTGAAGCAGGGCCAGTACTGTGAGTACATCGATTATACAATACATTGTGTGAGGAGCAAGGGTTCTTTTCAAGGAGCAGTCGAGCAATGAAACACCGCTTTAAATTAACATAAAGCTGGCATTTATTCAACAGTAAATACTATGGGTGGGGGAAATCATCGATACAGCATAGTATCGCGATACTTTGCGTGGCGATATTGTATCGATACACGGACGCCAAGTATAGATATTTTATTATATAAACTATTCATATTGCAAATCCAAATTAAAGTCAGCGGAGAAACAAATCGTATCGCAATACTTTGCATATCGTAGAATCGCAATACTATTGTATCGTGGCTTAAGTATCGCGATAGTATCGTATCGTGGGGAGCCTGGTGATTCCCACCCCTAGTAAATACACAAATAATACACAACTCAACTCTCACTTCTCATTCTCTCTTGTAAAGGAGCAATACTGCAACTCACCTCCTTTACACAGTAAGAAAACATGTGAAAGCTAACAACCAAGCAATAGAGAGGCGAAGTCCCTCCCTTTCCGGTGGACCCCCATGGGACTTATTTCGGAAAAAGTATGTATTGAAGTCAATGGGGAGAGAAAGATTATCTCTCGATCCCGTTTGAATTGTGCCATGAATTACACATATGATGTTTGTCAATCTTAAAAAATAATTTCCATGTCAAAAAAGTCACAGTTTGTCGTAAAACTGTTGAAATATAAGACTATGAAAAATACGCAACTAGAAAGACTACAAATCCCAGAATCCCGGTCCCGCATGCTGGCTCTTAGGAACCGACTAACTCCCCTTGTGTGTATGTACAGCTCTCAACATGCCCAGACTTGGAGTGATTTTCACCTCTTTTAATACTTTCCGCCTCATTCTGAAAGAAAGAAGTGAAATGTGCCAACGTGACGGCCGTCTGGGTGTGTGGTGCGAGACGGGAGATGTAGTTCTGTTGTGGCAATTTAGTACTCACAACAGGAAAGAATGAAACAGAGAGGAATCAATAAAACACAAACACAGGTATAGTTGATCAATTATTATTTCGTTGTACAACAATCAATAATAATGAGGAAAACATTACCTCTGCTCTCAAGCAGTCCTACAGCAATGCTTCCCCGAATATTCAGAAACACAGGACACATATAGGTTTCCTAAATGACACACGAACATGTTCCCTAATCATGTTTAACGCACACACATTGTCAGGTCTCCTAAACTTGAACGCACCAACATCAGAGCAACATGTAAGTTCCAGATGTCAAAAGGTCATTATCTCATGAAGTCTTTAGGAGTCTTGCAGGATATGAATTATCCAATTAACAAACTATATATATCGTCTGCACATGAGTGCACATACATTTCTTTACATTTAACTAACACACCAACATCCTTATCGTTTCTTAGCTAATGCATGCTGGATATGAACCACTAACTAACAAGACTTTAACTGTATTATATCTGAGGAAGACCTCTCTTGGAGTTCCTCTGACCTTTGCCAATTTACTTAACATGGGTACATCTGCTGTTAATTGCAAAGACCATTGATAATTAGCAAAGAGACTCATAGGCCTCTTCCAATATCTGGAAACTGTAATTAAATTATAGTTATATTGAGAAGGTCCAAGACTTGACATAACAGTTCATTGAGCGGTTTCACACACAAAAAAGTGTTACTTCACAGTTTTACGACACATTTAGATTTTTTTGACTTGCAAAATTATCTTTTAAATTGACAAACATTATATGTGTAATTCGTGGCACAATTCAAACGGGATCGAAAGATAATCTTTCTCTCTCCATTGACTTCAATACATACTTTTTCCGAAATAAGGTCCCATGGAGGTCCCCGGAAAGGGAGGGACTTCGCCACTCTATGAAAAACATAACGCTTACACATCTGAATTTACTTTTAACATAGAAACTCAGAGCTTTTCTTACCCTCTGCATCGCTGCCACTGCCCTCTGCTGGATCACACTAGATATTGCAGGATTAAAAAGTGACTGAACCTCACTCTTATGTTGCTATTTAAGTTGATTACATATACATGAAATGTCCCCCCTTCGATATGCATTCATGCTACAGATGTCTTATGCATTGTGACTGTCCTCTTTCAGGTCCTATGGCTATTGAAGAGCAGGTAACGGTCATCTACGCTGGAGTGAGGGGATACCTGGACAAAATGGAGCCCAGCAAGATCACCAGGTTTGAGAAAGCCTTCCTGGAGCACGTCCTGAGCCAGCACCAAGACCTGCTGTCCGCTATCAAGTAAGTCACTACAGCATTTACACATGCATTAGAGGCAGAGAGGGCAAAAGTTCACACATCCTTTACTCAAGTAGAAGTACAGATACTCGTGTTTCAAAATACTCTGGTGAAAGTAGAAGTACTGACTAAACTTCTTTACTCAAGTCAAAGTAAAGAGGGCTTTGAAATGTACTTCAGTAAAAAGTACCCATAACTAGCAGCTGTTTTAAAGAGTACCTGACCTCCCTTTATATTAATAGAACAATAATGTCATTGTTAGCTAATGAATGTTTCCATGCTGAACAACGGCAACATGACAACGTTTTCATTGGTCCCTGTTCTTTAGAGAAGACCAGGAAATGATGGATACACGGATCGTGTTCAAATCAATAGGCACGCAATGACTCTAAATAATAATGATAGATAGATAGTACTTTATTGATCCCAAATTGGGAAATTGTTGTTGTTACAGCAGCATAAAAGGCATTTTACAATAAAACAAAACTACAAAATATACAAGAATAGAAAAAAAAAAAAAATAAAATAGAAAATATCACGCCACCAAACACACATTCAAACTAAAGGAACCAGCCTGTTTGGAAAATGTAAGAAGTAGAAAGTACAGGTATTTGTGTTCAAAATGTAAGAAGTAAAAAGTACAGGTATTTGGGTTCAACATGTAAGAAGTAGAAAGTACAGGTATTTGTGTTCAACATGTAAGAAGTAGAAAGTACAGGTATTTGTGTTCAACATGTAAGAAGTAGAAAGTACAGGTATTTGTGTTCAACATGTAAGAAGTAGAAAGTACAGGTATTTGTGTTCAACATGTAAGAAGTAGAAAGTACAGGTATTTGGGTTCAAAATGTAAGAAGTCAAAGTAAAAAGTCGTCAGAAAAATAAGTAGTGGAGTAAAGTACTGATACCAGAACAATGTACTTAAGTACAGTAACAAAGTATTTGTACTCCACTACTTCCCACCTCTGATTATAATTATAATTCTGTATGCATTTTCTAACGCTACTCTTCTTCATTGCAGGGTTGAAGGTCAAATCTCAGACGCGTCCGATGCTAAACTCAAGCAAGTTGTGTTGAGCTTCCTCTCCAGCTTCGAGTAAAGGCTTCGAGCTCCGGTTGTTTTCATGTTCACTTAGTCTGTTATACTTTCTATGAACTTCAACAAAACAAAAGAAGATAAGTGACGCTTCATCTTTAATGTACAGATATCTCTTAAAGCAGAATAAAGTATTCCAACTAGTCGACTCATCACCTCTTTTTGTGACTTTGAGCTCTTTCTGTTTGGGTTTGTCTTGATGAAGAAGCTGTTAGTAAGTCTCACACCTCAGTTTGCTTTTACTACAGGGTGTCCGCGGGGTCTTAAAAAGTATTAAAAGTTGATAAATCAATTTAGCGAAAATGAAGGCTATTAAAAAGTATTAAACGGCATTTTCCAAGGTATTACATTTTGTAGCTTGTTTTCAATAAGTATATAAATTGTCCAAAGAGGTTGTATTCTACAGTGTGCCTGAATGTAATCATTGCGTAGGTGTGTAGTGTGATTCTGTGTAGTTTATTTATGGCATCCCGTTGGATTTGACGTCATCTGAACAGGACATCGCACGCTCACTGCTTGTTAGCGCACGAAGGTCCGTTTACGCCGGTTGTTAAACAACATCGTTATGGGGAAATGCAAGTCTGCGTCCAAATGGTTGGAAGATAAGGAGGAAGGACAATCAATACTGTATGTAGTCAATGTGAGGTAAAGTGTGTCGCCAATGTAACCGGTTAGAACTCAAAGTGGCGATGAGGTCTTAAAATGTATGGAAAGGGTCTTAAAAAAGGTCTTAAAAGATATTACATTTGACTTCAGGGTTCCTGCATATACCCTGGTTGTTACTAAACATATTACAGTTAAAATATCCGCACAAATTCAAATAAAGTGCATAGCAATGCCTTCAAACTATTCTTAAAATCCTGCATTTTATACACATCCTATATGATTTAAAAGGGGTCCTATAATCCACATTTTCACGTTCATATTTGTCGTTTGGGACTTTGTGATTTGAGCCTTTACAGACCATTTACATGCACTAAAACCTATATAAAAGGGAATTAGTTTGAGGAGGAGAATCATCACACGTGGAGAATCATTAAACTGCCACTTTGAGGGAAGAGTAATTATTATAATGGTGGCAATTAAGGCATCAAATCTTACAAGCATTCAACTCAAATCTCTGGATGAAAGGAACTGACTCTGGATGTTCTTGTAGCCCGTTTTCGTAGTTACTTTAATAGCCGCGTTCACACCGGAGTACTTTTCACCGTACTTTTCGCGTTCACACCAAAAAGAGCACTTAATCTCGGGAACTTTTACCCCCATTTTTAGTGCCTGCTGAGAGATGGTACTTTCCTGGGGGAAAAAAGTGCCCCAGTTCTGATTGGCTGGGCGAATAGCAAACCACGCCCCGTAAAACTCTGAAATGTTTTGTAGAGCCGCCATTTTATTTGCTCGCTATATAAACCCAGCGCACCAACGGAGAGTAGTTTGTTTTGAAAGCAGTTATGGGAACCATCAATAAATCATCGGAGCGGTGGACTGATGAGGTGTCTGCGCTGCTGGAAATCTACGCCAAGGAAGTGGGTTCAGTGGCCAACGACGACGAAGGTAAAATCAACTACATGCACTGGGGTTTTAATCTGCACAATAATGGTCTCAGATGTACTTTTATTTGCTCAGTACATCGAGCTAGCCATGCTAGGCTGAACTAGCTAACACCGGCCCCGATAGATATTCTCGGCCGCTATGAAAACGTTTTGACTTGTGAATAACTGTGCAGTGTTTCTGTAATTTGCTTCACTAACTCATGGCACTAATCGTGTGTTTCAGGCGAGGCTGGACAACTCTCACGATTGGAAACAAGCGAGCTTTCCCTTCCAGATCACAGAGCCTGCTCGTCCCCCTTACCAGCAACCAAACGCAAAGGTACACACACTGTAACTTGGTCTTGAAAGAATGTTACGCATCGAACTGATGTTCACAATCACGTTTATTTCCTTCCTGGTACAATTATGAAACGGCGTGAAAACGTATTCGCCTAGACCAGCGTTTACAAATTTTCGCGCCGTTTTTACTCTCTCACAAACATTGTAAACATCCGGGCTAGAGGTCTTCTTCTTCTTCTTCTTTTCTTTAATGGCGAATCGCTTCCACTTGGAGCATATACCGCCACCTACTGTTGATTAATTAAATGTTTATACTAAATCCTTGTCGTCAGACCAGTGCTTTTGAGGAATTTGAAGATCAGCTTGTTTGCTTCATTTCTTGATTTACTTTCATATATTGACTTGAAATCCATGTCCTTGATGTTGAGTTGTTCCAGTGCAGTTTTCAGAATGAGTCTTTGTCTGTTATAATCCGGGCAGCTAAAAAATACATGATGTATTGTCTCTGGTTGTTGGCAACCATCACAATTGCCATTTGGATGTTTTCCAATCAGATGCAATGATGAGTTTAATCCAGAGTGACCCAATTTTATCCTGCTGTTAATGCTCTGTTCTCTTCTACTACTCCCCCAAGTGCTTCCCGTTCCTACTTCCCTTTGTATCTGGTATAAATGTCTTCCTTTGGTGTTACTGTCCCATAGCTTTTGCCATTGTTGCTTGATAACAACTTTTGTAACAGATTTAACTTCTGCTCTACGAATGGGTACCATAATATCAATCTGGTTTGCTTTCAACCCACATTTTGCCAGTTGATCCACTACCTCATTCCCTCTAATACCCACATGTGCTGGAACCCACACAAATTGAACAACAATTCCCAGATTAACTAACCTAAACATAATATGTAAAATTTCATGTAAAATATCCTGAGGACATTCTGAAGAGAAGTTGTTTATACTCTCCAGAGCTGCACTGGAGTCAGAGCAAATGACCACTCGCATTGGCTGTATTTCCTCTACCCACTGAAGTGCTAGTGAGATAGCCATCATCTCTACTGTATATACTGCGATGTGATCACTCGTCCGCTTTCCCACTTTGACTTTTAATTCAGGAACATAAAATGCACAACTAGTTTGACCATTTTCTGGATTTTTGGATCCATCAGTAAATATTTGTATAAACTGCCCATATTGTTCATGTAGAACAGTATTCACATAAGCCTGTACATTCATTTTGTTTTTCATTGAATGTAACCGTTTCAATAAAGATAAATCTACTATAGGTTGAGGTAGCAACCATGGTGGAACAGCTGATAACAACACCGTCGGACTAATATTCCATTATTTAACTTTGAATTCTTTACATCATTCCCAAACACAAAAACTTTCTTTTTTAATTTTGTTACTTTCCCAACTTGTTTTTACAGTTTGTTTAGTAGGGTGAGTATCTTTATGGCCCTGTAGATTTGCCCAGTAATTAACAATTAACTGTTTTCTCCTAAAAAAAATGGGTATTTCTCCGACCTCTACCTGAAGTGCCGACACTGGTGTAGATCTGACTGCCCCACAGCATATCCTTAGTGCTTGTGCCTGGACTCTTATCTAATTTTTGAAGAGAAGAGTATGCAGCTGAACCATACACTATTAGTCTGTATTCTATGGCTGATCTAATTAATGCTGTGTATACGTTCCTCAAAGCAGCTTTATCAGCCCCCCACTTAGTGCCTGCCAAGCACCTCATAACATTTAAAACCCTTTTACATTTATCTACTACTTTATCAATGGGAGTACTCCATGTGACTCTCTCGTCCAACCATATTCCCAGAAATGTAAATGTCTTCACTTTCTTTAGTTCTTAAAAAATAAAGTTTCAGTTTTTTCCACCGACAATCTAAACCCCCATGTCAGAGACCAGCTTTCAATTTCCGTAATGGCTTCCTGAATCTTACCTACAATATAATTTACATTTCTGCCCCTTTTCCAAATAGCTCCATCATCTGCAAAAAATGACTTACCGATATCAGATCCTACTTGTGTATATATATCATTTATCATGATAGAAAACAGCTTTCCTAATGCAAAATCACTTAATTTGGTCAACATTATATAACATACATTATCTTTCCCAGGAGCAGTCAATTTACACTTACTTAATGCTCTTCTCAACTCTTGAATAGAAACATTTCTGCCTTCTCCATAGGACCAGGGAGGGGTGTTTAAGTTGATTACATATTATCAAATTGAATAATTCAATGTATACGACAGTGCCATAGCTAAATGTGTTAGGTGACGTCTAAAGGTGTGTTTTGCTCCGCTCACCGGTCCCTCACAGCAGGCAGAGCTGCAGGTGCTGATCTCTCTCTCTCTCTCTCGCGTCCGGTACTTCACTCGCGTTCATGTCCAAATCCATCAGATCTAGCTAGTTCTAGCTAATGATATGGCTGCTGCCCCTGCCTACACGCAGATCACGCAGACTCAAACCTCATCTTATGCCCAAATGCGGCGCAAATGCGCTCCGCAGCCGTTGCGACGTTCCGGCGCTAACAGTTGATGAGCGTGCTCCCCCGCCCCCTGTCAACACTCGCGACACATGAGTGGCCAGCCTAACAACAATAAGCACTGCTTGGCAACCGTGTGTGGCGGCAAAGTACATAGACATTTTGACAGGAGAGATTTAGTTTTGCCGGTATTCAACATATTTTACCAGTCATAGTCCGGTAATTATTTACACTCTAACCCCTAGATTCCACCGGTCCGTCTGCGCCACGTTGCGGTTTTGGTCCGGCGTCATACCCTACCAGGCGCGTTTCAGAAGCGGAGCGTCTTGCCAGCCGGCTCGCAGTTTTTGTTGATTTGGGCATATTTCCTGGACAGGCAACTTTGTACAGACCAAGTTAATAACTGTAATATTCCAGTTATAAACGACATGAATCAAAGATGTGTTGCTGTATTTTAGTGGTAAAAAAATGCATTCATCATCATAATTATTCTATATATATAATTTACACAGTGCCTGTAAACCGGAGGAGAACGCTGGCATTTCTCCTCCTACTTGAAAGACTACGGAGGGATAGGGTCTGCACAGTTAGTTTGTGTGTGTGTGTGTATGTGTATATATATGTATGTATATGTGTATATACATATGTGTATATATATATATATATACACACATACACACACAAACTAACTAATTGTGCAGACCCTATCCCTCCGTAGTCTTTCAAGTAGGAGGAGAAATGCCAGCGTTCTCATATATGCATATGCATATGCCGATCGCCGTGAGCACCGCGGCGCAGCCGTAACGCGCCGCAGACGAACCCGGT